CCATTTTTCCTTATTGGCTTGACATCGCTCTCAGATCCCTGGTTTGATACTGACATGTCCCCTTCGTGCATTCTATCTCTTTCTGTATTCAAATCCTTTCTTAAAATCTCCAATTTGTCCTTCTACTTTAAGCACAATTTTTTTTAGTCCCCAAAATGTCAAAATCCATATATCAGTGCATCTCTTTCTTTTGAGCATCTCTACCTCCACCATCAAATGTGAAATTGTAAACTTCTCTCGAGTCAGTCAGGGAAATCCCTTCATGGACTTTTTCACGGGGCATTTTCCACAGATGGAAAATCAATAGTCACTAAATGCAACCGATCGTGGTCCGATAATTCTCTTGACCAATAAAACAGTAAAAACAGTCTTGTTTTCCGCTTATGGCTTTGGATAGAAGGCCTGGGATCATTATTTGACCCAGCAGAAGGTACCTCTAGAGCAGGGGTAGTCAACCTTGGCTCTTTTATGACTCGTGGACTTCAACTCGCAGAATTCATGAGCCAGCTAAGCTGGCTCAGGAATTCTGGGAGTTGAAGTCCACGAGTCATAAAAGAGCCAAGGTTGACTACCCCTGCTCTAGACGTTAAGGAGATGCCGCTAATCGTGTTGTGTTTAATCTCCCCAAAGGCACCCAAGAAAGCTAAGAAGAGGTCAGATTCGAACGTCTTCTCCATGTTTGAACAGGCACAGATCCAGGAGTTTAAGGAGGTATGTCAACAGAGGCACTAAAATCTTTTGCAAACAGTTTGTATTACAAATCCAAATGAGCTGAATATCCTGACCCAAGAACATGGATAACGTAGGTAACACGCTAACATCCTCTTGGCTTCTGTTCTACCTGCATAATTAAGAGTCCGTATTTGAATTTCAGTCACGCTACACAATCTGAGGCCTGAGGAATCAAACTCTCAGCCAATCTTTTTTTTTTTGAGCATGGAAGTATGTGCTTAAGTCCTAGATGATTCTACATTCTTGTAGATCAAAGGCTGTAATAGCCAATTTAAAAAGACTTTATTGGAGCTTAATCTGAAGCCTGGACTTTGTTCTGGAACCTAGCTGAAACGCCCTAGCTGAATATTGCCGCATAAGGTCTGCCAGATTCCAGCCATGGAAAGTTCATACTGAAATATTATCTCCTGGGTCAATTATATGTTGGATTGATTTTTATCTTTTCCTAAACCTTATACATTCCCCAACCATCTTGCGGATCCCAGAAAGACCCTGAGTGCACTAATGTATCCTGCATAATTACAGGATAGGGCTGGGAGAATGTTTCAAAAGAGGAATTTGAAAGGCTGGGCACACACTTCTGTGTGAAGACAGCTGGGGGCGACTTCAGAAGCAATTGTGGTAGATCTAACAGTCTGAGATCAGGCACTTCGTACCCACTACTCCATACAAGACATGTAGCTTCTCCCCTTTCAGGCTTTCACCATCATGGATCAGAACCGCGATGGTTTCATTGACAAAGCAGATCTGAGAGATACATTTGCAGCACTAGGTAAGCAAAGAAACGCCTCTACATTATGATATCCATCAATGTCCAATGAGTAATTTATACCGGATCTCATTGAGAAAAAATATTTCAATTATCGTTCCTTGTGTTTGGTTTGGTTTTGCCTGCTTCAGGGCGTCTGAATGTGAAAAATGAAGAGCTTGATGACATGATCAAAGAAGCTCCTGGACCAATTAACTTCACCGTGTTCTTGTCAATGTTTGGAGAAAAGCTTAAAGGTAAGATCGGAGGAGGCTACAACTTGGTTACAAGCAGTGAGCGTCTTTGGTAAGCTGTTTAGGCACCCATCCACACAGACTTGGTTAGGATCATGAAAAAGTAACGGAAGTAGTCACTATTCATGAGTCACCTTGCAGCAGGATAAACAAACAAACAAACATATGTTTAAGGGGCTGTGGTGCTGGATTCCCAATTCTCCTGGAAAGCTTCCTTGTGTGGCTAAAGGAGGGTTTTATTCTGGTTCACCTGCCCATTTATTTTCTGTGTAGCCTCCATGGTGACACACCTTCCCACAAACATTGTAAGAAGGGCCACTTTTACAAAGTATTCAGCTTTCTGAGACTTTCCCTCCATCTCCCCTCCCCTCCCCCTTTTATTTCCTTTTAATTTTCCAGGAGCAGATCCAGAGGAAACCATTCTAAGTGCATTTAAAGTCTTTGATCCAGAAAGCAAAGGCTTAAAGGCAAACTAGTAAGTATCTTTGGATCTTGTCCGCTTAAAGTGGTCAGAAGATCCTCAGAGCCCTTTCTGCTTTCTCTTCGCCCTTTTCTTCTCACTCCCTTAATAAACATTCCTTTAGCATCCCCTCTCTTGGGACAAACTGCTGTGATGGAAATGTACAATCAGCCTGGCTGCTTATCCCAAAAGCAATTAAGAACTTGTTGGTCCATCCCCAGCCTGGATTTCAGAAATGAGAAAGCTATCGCCTCTATTCTTCACATGGAGGGATGGGTGGAATTGAGACTGATATTCCTTCGCATCTAATCCGGGTTTTTTATTTTTCAGCATTAAAGAGATGCTCATGACACAAGGAGAACGGTTTTCAAAGGAAGAGGTAAGAAATTTCTGAATCACTCAATGGCCTTTCCAGGGAATGCAATGTGGGAGTACAGCCCATTGGACTGTCTTCGAAATGAAGATCTGCAATCTTACCAAGAGCCACTGAGGTATAAAACCTCAAAAGGAAATTTTCCTGGCTTCTTTGTTCTTCCAGGTAGACCAAATGTTTGCAGCCTTCCCTCCAGATGTGACCGGCAACCTTGACTATAAGAATTTGGTGCACATCATCACACATGGAGAAGAAAAAGATTAAGAAATGGTGGGGAGGCCACTCGGTGTGTGGTGACAGAAGTGATACCTTCTCTGGCCAGCTAAGCTGGGCTGTTGTGTCTTTCCTGACTGTTGTCATCCTCTCGGCAGTTCCAGCCCTTTGTCTGTCCTATCTGTAGAAAGAATGCAGCCATGTCTGGAGAAACCTATTTCTAAAACTGCCTTTGTATTGAATTATTCAGAAAGTCTGAGCAGCCCTTGATGAATGATTATGGATGAGGGAATGGAATAAGCTGTACTCAAAGCAAGCCACGTGTTTCTTTTCTGATGCCAGAGCAGGGTGCGTTTCTCACTTAACACACAAGGCAAAGAGGTTGTCCAACAACAGTATGTAGAGCTGACCAGGAGGAGGCTCCACCCACAGCTAACATCAAGTAAGGGCCACAAATTTGCCACTGCTGGGTATGGAAATTTGCTAGGAACCCAACACATCTATGGAGGCTTCCTACCTATGATAGCAATAATACTTGGACTTATATATCGCTCCACAGTGCTTTACAGCAGGATTTCTCTCCCTCCCAGTTCCCCAATACGGATCTCTTACCCAATGGAGGCACACGGCTGGAACCACACGATTGTCTTTCTGGGTGCATCTAAAGTTGTTCATCATCTGCTCTTTCCAGGTCATGAGGTCAGCTGCAACAGACAGGCTCACCCAACATAGATTGAGACCCATCCAAAGTCAGTGACTATGCAGTTTGTGTTGAGGGTCCAGGATTGCAAAACCAAATTTCCATTGTCTACTACCTTTGTTAGCCTGCCAACCTGAAATGCTCCAGATATATTGGGATTACAACTCCCAGGCGTCTCAAGAACCACACACAGGTGCAATCTGTATGGTATGGCATTTGCTCTGTGTTAACATGCTGTGAGATAACACAGCTCATTCACAGTGGGCTATAAATAGTAAAACTGTCTGGTACCTAGAAAAGCAGGCATCGTTCTTGGATAAATCTGAGTCGTGATCCTACTTCAGTGCAGTAGTTGCACCCTACTTTTCATCCACTCTGCCTATTAGCGCTGAAAGGCATAGGACTGAAGGACAGTTTTCCACCTTACATATTAAAATGTCTTATTGAGATGGTCTTCTGTTTTTTAAGATAAAAAAAATAAGAAAACTAGAGTTCTCCCAAAGACTTAAGATCTGATACATAACTGGTTTATAATGGAGCCACATTCATACAGTATCAGCCCTATGAAGGACATAAGATAAATCTTGGTTGACACTAGGCCATCTTGTGGCTTATTTAGCAGACTGCACTGTGCTGATGAGGATCAACACGAGAGACCAACATTAATTCAGGTAGGAAGTGGAAATCATGGATTCCATTACAGGCGCTTCGCCTCTTTTCTTACCATCTGGTCTTCACAGAGTCTTATATGCCCAGGGACATTTGTTAGAGCTTTGCTTTTTTTATTGGAAAAAATGAGGTGCCAGAAACACATCCCTGAATCCTCTTTGGCTAATAGGACCTGCCAAACCAGGGAAATGGCTCCACTCTGCAACAGCCACGCAGTAAAAATATAACAACAGCAAAATCAATAACTGTGTCAGGTGTTTCAAGGTCAAAGGGGGAGATTCACCCTTCCAGGGTGCTCCAGAGAAAATAGCCTTTGCTGAAGCTGGAGGAGCCCTCTTACGGGTTCTGCAGCACATTTCACAACAGAGGATGTCTCACACAAAAGTACATCCAAGCAGTTTGTTCTCCTGGAAAGAGGTGAGAAAATGGGTTTAACTCCCACAATAATAAAGCAAAAATCTCATGCAACATAAATGCAGCCCTCATCAAACTGGGATTCTCTGGTTGTGTCAGACTTTCACTTCTGTCTTTCCAAACTTTGATAGCTGGAGGATGATGGGTGATATAGTCCAATTAGATATTTGAGGGCATATAAAAAAAAAAAGCAGAGAAATTCAGGGTAACCAAAAAGACGACTGCAAGCAAGACAGCGAGCTGTAGAAATTCAAGAGACAAATGCTTTCTTTGTTCATAATTTTTTTATTCTATGCAAAGAAAATCCATCTTGGTATCGCATTTTGTACTGTGTGTATATATGTATATATAAAAGAAGATACATGAGTCTAAGTACATGAAAGAAGCCAATGAGAAAAGATAATTTCTCGCCCTGCCGCCCATTTCTTTCTTAGCCTCTACACCGGTGACACTTTCTTTTTTTCTCTGCCACTCTCCAATCTTTCTGCGACAGTATTCCTTATGGCTTTTTCCTTCTCCTGGTTTTCCAAGATCATGGCACGCAGATTTTTGTGGTCTAGCGGTTCCACTGTTGGGAAAGGAACGAGAAGTTCAACAGGGTTAGTTTGGAGAAGAGGCGTTTTCTTTCTTTTTTAAAACCACAATTTCAGTGAACTGCCACATTAACACAGTATGAACACAACACCTATTTATTTATCAGCTTGGATCAGGGGTTGGATCAGCAACAAACTCTCCCCACCCTTGGCAGAAAAAAACTTACTGAGACACTGGTCAAATGGACAGCATAAGGAAATTCTCTCTGCCCCTTTAAAAAGCTTCCAAGCCAGCCTTGAATAACCAGACCCTCATTCTTGCTGGCTCCAAATTTTGCACAGCCATCTATTCTTCCTGCAATTACTTACTAAGCTCTGACATGTCTGCAAAGGGATCCACACTGAGAGAAGGTGGAGTCACTTTAATGGCGTCCATTTTCTTTAGCAGAGCACTCCCACCCAAAAAGGGATTCATCAGTGGGACGGTGTCCAGCTCTCCTTCGACTTGCTTGTAGCGCAGGAAGGACTCAATCAGCAAAAGGTCGTTGCTTTTCTTTTCTACTATGCCTGCAGAGAGAGAGAGAAGCAAAGGAACCTGTGAGCGAGTGGATGTGCTCCACATCTCACACAATGCACAAAGAAAGTTGAAGGCAAGGGGACTTCCAGGTCTTGATTTGGTAGGTGTGACTCTTGGCTCCGCAGGGTTTCTTCTCAGATCAGGTTTTCCCAGTAAACTCCATTTGCTACAGATAAATTTGTTGGATTAGAAAGGGAATTTCTCATTAAAACTTTACATACCAAGACTACATAAGCTATAAGGCATTGTTTCCCAACCCTGAGAAATTTAAGAAGTGTGGACCATAGCTAGCTGGGGAATTCTGGGACTTTTAAAGTTCCCAGGGTTGGGAAACACTCCAATAAGATGAGAGAAATCCCAGGTGGAAGCACTAAGACGCCCCTGGAGGAGAAATGAGGGAATGTCAGAAGGCTTTACCTGACCGAAGGTCTCCATTAGTCAGTTTGTGTTATTTCTTCTCCCAGCTTGTCACACAAACACAGGAAGCCTCTAGGGCTCTCTGGGAGAAACCCCAAGGCGATCAACTCAGCTTGGTGCTTGGTCGTTTCACTCACTGAAATACTGCATCAAATTGTGATCGGTGATCTCTCCAGTCTCTCCCAGATGCTGTGTAATCTTGGTGGCATCGCAGCCGATCTTCTTGAACAGAAAATCCACTGCGGATTTCAGCTGGTCCAAGATTTTGCTGCTCTCTTTCAGACTGTAAGCGTAGAGATTGGCGTTTTCGGTGGTCTTCTGCAGTTTTTCCTGTGGGCAGAAAAAGAGGCTGATGGGATGAGAGAGACTGTGAAAGTAAAAGTATTACCAACCCCCCCCAAAGCTAAGCCCAACTGGCTCTCACCCTGGAGAATCATTTCTTTTATAAATAAGGGACAGGGGACACTGCCCTGGTCTCTCTCCCCTCCTCCTCCCCCCACACAAACACACATACACACCAGTTCCACTGCAATACCTCCATGCTTTTCAGACTGCCATGAACTGCAACTTCATCTGCCTTCTGCTGGGATTTCAGCTGGCTGATTTCATTCTACAAAGTTCAGAAATTCAGAAATCCATCATTTTAGCCTTCAGGCCACTTATGACTTTGCTAGGTGTGTTTCCAAAAAGTGCCAGGTTCAGAGGATGCCTGTGAGTATTTGTTTATTTATTTAACTTGGAAGGCTGTCTGACTCTCAGATGAACTCTGCCAGTTTTATGTAATAAGAGAGGATTTAAAAAAAAACAGTGAAAGGAGAAAAGGGTACGCATGCTTGGATAAAATCACCCCCAAATAGAAAGAAAAGAAAAGAAAAGAAAAGAAAGAAAGAAAGAAAGAAAGAAAGAAAGAAAGAAAGAAAGAAAGAAAGAAAGAAAAAAAAACACTTCCCACCTCCTAACCCTGAAATGCTTGTAATCAGAAAGTGGAATTCCGATTTATAGAAAAACTTTCTGACTTCTGAATTGTGTTGAACGCAGATCCCAGTTGGGAAGACTTCCGACTAGGGTATGCCTTTGCTGGATACGCCCAAGAATGTCTCTGCATGCAGTTAACACCATGCATGAAAAGAAAAGCCTTGACCCCAATTCTGCACCCCAGGGGAAGCCATCATTGGTGGAGACAAAAGAGATCGCTTCCAAGCTATTTTCAGAGAATTAACCCAGATGCAGTCCCTCCCCAAGCTGCTTGGTGGCAATAGTCACCCAGGTTTGCCTATAAAAAAGTCTTTGCTTTTTAAAAATGGTCATTAATATTTACTGGAAGAATAGCTGATGTGCAGAAGGACTGGACAGCAAAAGCTCAAAACCTTGAGTAAAAATGAAACTGCCCGGGAGAAGGACCCCACCTGGACAACCTCAATCCTCTTCTGCAGCCTTTCCATGTCATTGTTCAGTTCGGTGACGTAGCTGAAGTAGGCGAAGTTCTTCTCCTCCTTCTCCAGGAAGTCCTCCACCAGCTGCCCAATGTTCCCGTTTTCCGTCAGTTTCAGCAGTCGCATGTAGGCCACCTCGTAGCTCTCAAAGCTCTCCCCTTTCGACTTGGCCCGCTTCCTTGCCTTGAGCGCTGAGAGGAAGTGGGGTGCTTAGGATACAGAGCCAGTCAAGATTTGTTTCCCTACAAAAAAGTGACCCACCCAGACAAAATAGTGCCTACGGTGGTTGTTATGGTTACTAGACATACACACCCACATCCAATTAAATATGGTAGTAAAGTTGTACTGTGTCTACTGTATAGATTAATAGGTTTTGCATCCAGAACCCTCTTCATATGTGTGGACATCACTTAGAGCACCATACGTGATTGCGCAAAAGTTCATCACTTGCAACACCAGGCAGGACATGTTAGCTTTTTGTGTTTGTGTACATTGGCATGAATCGAGTGACAAAATGGTACCTTCTTCCTTTTTGGCCTGCTCCTCAATTTCAGAGCGGTCCACCAGTTTGATGAGCATAAATGCTTTCAGCTTGGTCTCGTGGTTATAGATTCGCTCCAGTTCCCGAAACTCAATGTTGAACTGGGCAATATCCTTGGAGCGCCGTTCATTCATGGCAGAGATCCTCGCCAGGGCTTCAACCCTGATAAGAAACAGAAAAGCAGGTAGGAGAGAGAAAGCGAAAGAGAGCGCAAAAATAGGACAAGACGAAGCAGTCCAGGCCGAGATTTTGTCACCTTATTTTGAACCAGCTTATCCCTGAGATATTCCATTCCTAGTCCTGGGACTCATTCATCTAAAACAGTGTTTCTCAACCTTGACAATTTTAAGGCATGTGGACTTCAACTCCCAGAATTCCACAGCCAGCAATGCTGGCTGTGGAATTCTGGGAGTTGAAGTCCACATGCCTTAAAATTGTCAAGGTTGAGAAACACTGATCTAAAACAACTTGTGCAGGATACCTTTCTTCTGAATGATGCTCTTTGCTGACCAATTAAGGAACAAACTAAGTCCACAACAGATGGGGGAGTTCTAGAGAGGGGCATTCTATTGCTTTAGACTGCAGTTGATAAATGTCCTTTTTAAAAGCTGCTCTGTTTTGAAAAATTAAAGATGCAGGCAAACCCAGCCCTGTTTGCTTATTCCTGGAAGTAGAATCGGTTTTGTATCTGCAGGGAGCATTTGGGTTGGGCAAAGAAGACATTGGAATTGGAGGTTTCCCTGCCTGGCTTCTGTCATCCCACATTAACATTTTTCATTGTGTTGCAGAGATGCACGCATCCCCTCTTTAAAAAAAAGAGACCCTCCATTAACAGGGCAGTCTCAAATTTGCCCAAGCAGTCAAAGTTGCAGTCCTGAAAGCAAGCAGAAGGTTGCACACTTGGTCCTCTTTCTCCTCCTCCTCCTCACCTCTGCTCGTAGGCTTGTGTAGACTGCTCAATGGATGTATTCATGGTCCTCTTTTGCTGCTCAAGCTTCTTGTGAAGGCGTGAGTAGATGCCTTCAAAGACCGCCTTCTGGCACTGCAGGGTTTCTATTTCTTCACGGAGCATGGCATTTCTGGTCAAGATCGTGTCAAAATGTACCGTGGCCTGGAGGTCAGAGGTAGAATTAGGAAAGGATCCAGGACGTTCTAAACTAAAGCAAGATTTAAAAATGTTTCTCAAAGTCATGGAGAAGAGCGACTAATAATGGGGAAAGCCGAAAGAGGGTGGAATTAGCAGAATACCTCATTCACTTTTTCCTTCTGCAACCCTCCACGTCTTTGCTCCTGACTGACACACCCAAACTCATGAAGTAGAAGTGATTTATAGGTTTGGGGAACAAGAGGAGGCCTCAACATCTGAAGCACAAAACTGATGCTGCAATTACACGAAATTAGGCCAGAGATGTGGTTAATAGATTCCAGTTCTAAATGTATTTTCTGGACTCAGAACGGAAAGTTCAAAAAAAGCCATATTACTTTCTATTCACCATCATCCATTATGCCTAATTGTTCTAAATTTGGAGTCTTCTACCCCCTCAACTTTATTTTTAAGGGCTGTCATTGTGGTTCTTATTTCAACGGTTCCCCTCAAGGTGGAGACAGACGCTAATTTCTCCACCACAAGGAAGATGCATTCTGCAAACTGCTGCTTACATGATTGAGCTGGTTATCCAGCTTGTGGATCTGCTTCTGAAGCCACTTCCCATCATACTCCTGCCTCAGCTTGACTATCAGATTTTTTTGGGTTTTAATCTTTTTTTCCACCTCTTCTACCTAAAAGCAGAGGGAGAAATATCTCAAAACTCCTACGTTCATTGAAAGAAAACGATTTGAGGAAAACAATGAATAATTGCAGTGCATTTGCTAATATAAACTCTAAATATTTGATGCTTGTGTACAGGTAGAGTCCTCGACTTACAACAGTTCATTTAGTGACCGTTCGAAGTTACAGTGGCACTGAAAAAAGTGATTTATGGCCGTTTTTCACACTGCGAATGTAGCCGCATCCCCATGGTCACGTGATCAAACTTCAAATGCTTGGCAACTGTCTCATATTTATGACGGTCCCAGAGTTATGGGATCAGCTTTTGCGACCTTCTGACAAGCCATGTCAGAGGGGAAGCCAGAGTCACTTAACAGTGTTATTAATTTAACAACTGCAACAAATGTCTCGCCTAGCAACAGAAATTGTAGGCCCAGTTGTGGTCCTAAGTCAAGGACGGCCTACACAAGAAGCAGTTCCTGCTCCAAACAAGAAAGCAGAGCAAAGGAAATTGAGATTGAGAGAGCATCAAGAGAGGAAGAATATTCCCTAAGCAACAGAATTTCCCCAAATGCTTTTCCCCCCCTAAGACTCTGGAAATCCTTGGGTTTGTGGTCTCTTAGCTCTTGAACTGGAGACGGTGTTTGCACAGGGATTAGGGCATGCTAAATTAGTTTTGATTCGCATGAAAAGTGCACCGAGGAGTCAAAAGCGGAAGGCACACGTGTGGGGAGAGAGGAGGAGAGCTGAAAATCGCAGGCTCGCTCGCTGGCAGGCTGTCTATCGTGCTTCACAACCCCCACTTTGCAAGTCGCACATTCTCCCAAGCACCTTGTCATCAAGTTCTGCGATCAAATTCTTGGTGGCTCTGATCAGAGCATCGTACTCATCTCTGGTCTGCAGAAGGAACCTCAGCTCCATGAAGTTCCGGTCATCTATGTAAAGGTTGCGGGGTGATTTGGTGAGAGTCAGCAGCAAATTAATCTCATCGTATTCTTGTTTCAAGGCCTGGATGTTTCTTCTGTGAAGGAAAAAGAAGGACTGTCTCCAAAGTGCTCAAGCATCCCAAACCAGGGTGGCTGAAAATGCATGGACATAAAGTGTGAAATCCTAAAGCATCGATTACAAGCTAGAGGGGCTTGAATTGGGTATGTCTAGTTTAATGACAAGAAAGACCAGGGGTGACATGAGGGCAATGTTCCAATATCTGAGGGGCTGCCACAAACAAGAGGGAGTCAGCCTATCCTCCAAGCCATCTGAGTGCAGGACAAGAGGCAACCAACTTAGAATTAAAGGGAAATTTAATTAAGAGAACCAACTTAGAATTAAAGGGAAATTTCCTGACAGTGAGAACAATCAGTGGAACAGAAACTGCCTCCAGAAGTTGTGGGTGCTCCATTACTGGAGGTTTTTAAAAAGAGATTGGATCCCATTTGTCTGAAGTGGTACGGGGTCTCCTGCTTGAGCACAGGGCTGGACTAGAACAGGGTCCCCAACCTGTGGGCCGTGGGCCACTACCGGTCCATGGCTTATTCACAACCAGGCCGCGTAACTGGCTGGCTGGTGTGCGCGTGTGCTTGGGGCCTTGTGTGAGCATCATGGGTGCTCTTGGCCCCACTTGCGCGAGCAATGGGTGCTCGTGCATGTGCACACACCTGCCCCTCCCACAAACCCATCCCCTCTTTCTCCCTCCCCTCCGGGCTGCTAACCCCTAAAGTTGGGGAACTCTGGACTAGGAGACCTCTGAGTCCCCTACAATACAGGCCATGGGGAGCATAATGAGGGAACTGACCAATGTGCAAAAGTGACTTAGACAGATTGAAACAAGAGCAGGTATGCCTGCATTCATTTTTCTCAGCAGAGCATGTATTGGCTGGCATATATCCACGTTGGTTATGCACATACACCCCCACGCACGCACGCACGCACGCACGCACACCATAGGGCAGCCCCTCATTAACCTCCTTAATCTCCGGCAGACTTACTCCTGGTGGAACAATTGCTGCTGCGTTTTGAAACCAAGGGACTTGCGGTTGTCCACCATGATCCGAAACTGTTGCTGCAGCTTCCTCAGTTCGACTTCTGCCATCATCTCCTTTTCCTTCTCCGTGAAGTCTGAATTTTCGCTCCTGGCATGAGATACTATCCGGCGCTGCAGATCAGATATATTTTTTATAAAGAAAAGGGTGTTTGTGTTTTAACTGGGCTTACGGTTCCTTCAGGATTACAATTTCCCTTTTCCCAAGGGAAGCAGGGTGAAATAAAGAAAAGCTGTTCCACCAGAACGAACTATTAATCTTCCAAAAATCTACACAAAGGAGGGGCATATTTGTTCAACTGTCCTGACTAAGCTAGCAGAAGAATAATTGCACTACCATATCTTGCAGGGGAGGAGGAGAGCAGTGGGGGGGGGGAGAGAGAGAGGGAGAGAGAAATCTGTTCCTAAACTAAATCGAACCCAGTCTAGCTCTCATGGATGGAAAATAAAAGTGCACTCTAAAATGTAACCAGCAACCAATAGCATTTCAACACTGCACAATAAGGCAGCTTTCTCCCACACGGTGCCCCTCAGATGCGTGGGATGATAACTCTATCAAGCCTTTTCCTGCACTGCCTGGAACGATGGGAGTTAAACGCACATCTTGAAGGCAGCAGGAGATGGGCCACTTGGCTCACCCATCTAAAATGAGAACCAGGAAGCGGATGGTGGCCACAGGCAGTCAGGCTCCAGTGCCATGGCTAAGCGACTGCAGACGAGGAACAGACTCTACAATTACCCAGGCTTAATGAAAACAAGCATGTTTACCAGTGACTTCATATTTGCCTGGATTAAGTCTTGATGCGTCTGTTAAGGAAACCAGGTTAATCCTTCCCAAACCGAAACCTGAAAAAAAAAGTTAACAAAAAAGTTTTTGTTGCAAAGGTTTCTAGCCTCCATTTGCAAGGAAGATCTCTTAATAATAATAATAATAATAGTAAAGTTGGAAGGGACCTTGAAGGTCATCTAGTCCAACCCCCTGCTCAGGCAGGAAACCCTATACCATTTCGGACAAATGGCTGTCCAGTCTCTTCTTTCGGGACCTCTTTTCCACATCAGTGAATTCTCCCTTCTCCTCTCCATTGGTATGGGGCAACATGCCCAGATGGTTTCCTTAGCATATTAAAAGAACATTGACATTATGTCATCAGAGCCATGTTCGCTTAAAACTAGGGGGCGGAACAGATGGTTACGCTCCGTCCAAACCCATTCAGGACTGGGGTTTCCATAGAGATAACAAGAGAGCACATTGAAACACGGTGCACACTCTGCTGTCATTTCTCTGGACACCCACACACCAAGTGGACCGGACGGAACATTCTGAGGTGTCTGGGAACGATGAAGCTCAGCCAGGATGAGAAAGGAAGATCCGGCCCCAAAGAGGGAATTTGGCAGCTCATTTCAGTCTGCATCTTCCCATCTGATCTGGCACAATCCACACACTTCCCTTAAGACCTTGGTTTAAACTCGTAAGGCTCCAGAAACTTTCATTTTTTACTTTAAAAACCAAACTCCAGCATGTTCTGAAACATGGCTTTAAAGGAAAATTAGTAGATTGAAACAGATGGGACAAATTTGTTCACCAGAAAAAGACGGCAGACTTTAGCAAGGGCCACGGCTGAATGGCAGAGTGCTCAATCTGGACTTAGAAGTTCACAGATTCATCGCTTCTAGTTAGTCCTGGATTGAATTGAAACAGATGATTCAAGAGATCGGAAGTCTAAATGGATCCCTTTCGTTATTTATTAACCTTATTTTATTTATTCATCAAATTTCTATACTCCCCATCTCACCTACGTGACTCTGGGCAGCTTACAAATAAAAACCATGAAAAGCGACGTAGCTAAAAGAGTATTAAAAACAGAGGTCAAAAGTTAAAAGTTACAGAGGTTTAAAAAGTGTCTTCAAGCCACAAACCACACCCAGGGTTGCATGCCACTCTTAGACCCCTCCCCATGCCGGCTGGCAGAGTTGGATCTTGATGCTTTTCCAGAAAGCTGGGACAGTGGTCCTTTGAGGTCAAGATATTCCACAGAGCAGGGACATTATTATGCCTGGCTTCCCTGTAAGGTATAGCAAGCTGGCATTGCAAGGGCATACATTCCTACCCCGATGACCCCTTTCTTTTCTCCTCCAACTTTCAGAACTGAATGCAAACTGCTTGGGGCGGACCGAGAACCTGCCTTAAGCCGCTTTGGAAATAAACCGGTGTACAGTACTAAAGTCCATTAAGGAGCATCAAAGCAGACAGGAATAAGACAGAAATCGTGGCTAAACCGGAGCTAATGAACACGCGTGCGCCAAGTAACCATCCTAAAACCACCCACAGTATTTTTCCACTATCCCGGCGTCTTTGCGACCCCGAGTCCTTCAGAAAGTCGGATCCAAGCAGGGGAACCCCAGCTAAGCTGCAGATTCTCTCCGGAGCCTCCGCCTAGGCTGAGCGGAACGCGTGGACCGCGGCAAATTCCACGCACAATGCAGAGGCTCTTTGTGAGCCGGCCGCGTCCCATTGGCTGGGCCGGGGGCGTTCCAGGGAGACCCTGCCCGCCCGCCCGCGCGCCCGCCCGCTCCTTTTTTTTTTCTGGGCAGGAGCTTAAGCCAGGCTTGGCTCCCGCGCTTGGTTGCTCCTCTCCTTCCCGCAAGGATTCCCGGCAAGAATAGCTCCACGAACAAGGGGGGGGGCGTGGGAGAGAGGATTTTAGAAATTAAGGATTTGGGGAAAGCCTTGAATAAACACAAAAGGAATGGGGTGTCCTGGAGTCGGCGTGAATGAACACAGCACCGGCGGTTCATGAAAACCTTGGGGGTTAAGGAAGAGTTTCTCAACCTTGGCCAAGCGTGAAGATGAATGGACCTCAACTCCCAGAATTCCCCAGCCAGCATAGCTGGGAGTTGACCCATCTTCAAGCTTGCCAAGAGTGAGAAGCACTAATACTCATGCAACATGCGTGTCGTTTTCTGTAGTCTCGTATTTGCTGTTTGACCACAACCTGTGGATGCAGGGAGGCTTCGTGGCGCAAAGACAGCGAATGTAAGGTGTGTCAGAGAAGCAGAATTTGCATAAAAGGTGTTCACCCAATGCTCAAATGAAACATAGTTTTGAGGGAAAAACCTTTATTTCTTGGTTGGGCCGTTCTGATGATATTTTGCAGGCGACAGGGAGTAAGTTCTCGTATCTGCTCCCCCCCCCCCCAGAAGCAGAAGTTGCTTCTGTTTGGTTAAAAAAAAAATATCCACCCATCTGTGGCATTCTTCATTGTGTCCAAATTCTATGAGCCCTATTCTCCATTGTTTATCAGCCACGAATAAGCAGTCAATGAAACTGCTGGGAAAGGAACTGATGCAGTCCAGCCTCTTTGTCTGGGTCACAGCACTAGAGAAATATTTGCTTTGACCAACAGAATGACTTTTCTTTTTCTTAAGTCCTGCTTGAAAAGGGGTGCGGCTCCGTTTCAGTGGGTTTTGGATTGCTACTCAACAAAATAAGAAATGGGCTGTGGAGAGTTTTAAAAAAATAATAATCCTGGATGTACTGAATAAACCCATGAACCTTGGCCCCGTGAGTGCTCCAGCACCGGAGGTTTTCAAGAAGAGACTGGACAGCCAATTGTCCTGAATGGTATGGGGTCTCCTGTTTGAGCAGGGGGTTGAACTAGAAGACCTCCAAGGTCCCTTTCAACTTTGTTATACTGTTAGCACATCATATTGTGGTTTAGTACAAAATGGGGAGTCAGGTTTTTCCCTTTTAGATGAAGAAAGACTTTTTCAAGCAAGGATCAGCACTCTGGGCAGCTCCCACTACTACCTGCTACATGAACTCTACAGAAATATTACATATATTATAGCAATAGTCACATATTATAGCAAACTATAGTTTACAGTCCCAATGGTTGTCTGTACATGCACATGCAGGCTGGTTTGCATTCATGCACTACACCCACCCCAAATCTGATAAACCACTTATAACTATGTTACGTGAATCCAGCCGCTGAAGCCCACAAGGGAGGACTTATTGTAATGTGAACCTACTGGGTCGTGGTTTTCAATAAACCACAGGTAAGAAATCCAGTGACTTTGCATAATACATCAAGCTAGCATCTGGACATTTCTTAAGATCGGGTGTTCTTGGGAAGACTGTGGATTTTCTATTTTGGTAAGCAATCTTATTTCCCTGGCTGTTGAGCTCAGCTCTTCTGCATAAATATGTTTAGGATTGGACTATTAAAAGCCCCATACTACCCGTTAAATTACAGCCTGCCACTAACCCCAGATTGTGGAATCCTGCCAGGAAAATCAGGTTGAAGCAGAGAGTTCTCAATTCAGGAGGCTGCAGTACCACAACTGGTTGCCTAGCAACCTGGTTGCAAATTCCCATCCCGTCAGAAAGCATTTGTCTTTGACTTGGACACGGGAGCTCAAAGGGGGTGGGATTGGGGGTGGGGGGAGCTAATGAGGTGGTTTCAAAAAGGCAACTCCTACGCAATCTTTGGGGAATCTCTTGAAGGCAGGGAATTCGTAGCATACAAAAGAAATGCTTTGTTTGTTTGTTTTTTAAACAGGACTGAACTAAAAATGGCACAGCGCAAAGATGTTCTCTCACAACAGTTGCAGGATAGCAGTTGATGGGATCACTGAGTGAAGAATCCTCCAAAATAAATCTTCTGAGGCTCGGTAGGGTACGACTAACTCTCATGAAGTGAACTTTTAAAAATATCCTTAATAGTGAAGGCAAATATGACTTTCTGAAACAGGATGGCAATCTCTCGTGAGGCTGCAGCTTGGAGCAGCAGTTGGCTATCTGCCTTCTAGTGTAGAAGGTCCTCCAGACAATGTCCTATGTTAGTGATGGCAAACCTTTTAGAGACTGAGTGCCCAAAAATGGCCCTGGCCCTGCCCTGCCACCTGCCCCTGCTTTGCCCCCACTCCACCACCCACCCACCCACACTGCCAACGGCCGCCCCGCCCCACTCTTTATAAATATAAATATATAAATCCAACAGTTGTGGTTTGTTAATCAT